GGTTAATTTCCAAATTTCGTCATAGGTGGGATTTGAACCTTAGACCTGCCACTTGGAGGATAACAATCCAACCACTACACTAGGATCGCCATCCTCTCTTTATTGCATTCTTAATAAACCCTTATTCTTATTAGTATATATATAATCATAATTAAATTATTTATATACACATAACATTATACTAAATCTATTGTAATTTATCAATAAAGCAGTACATAAGACATCTTCTGTTTTTAAATTTAAATGCATGCAATTTGTAAAATGATGGAACAGCCTATTATGCTTAAAGTAAATAATATGCTTGAATCCTTAGAAGCTTTTGAATATGTCGTTAAATCAGCTACCAAATCTAGTAGGTTTGCATTTGTAAGAAAAAACAGTAACTTTACTAAATGCAATAGCAAATTACTTTTTGTCATTTTGCAATATACAAAGAGTGGTAAATAGCACAACAATTGGAATATTATTGAAAAATCTCAAAAGAGAAAAAAAAATACTCAACATGATTATTGTCTCATATATATTAGAACTACTGTAACAGAATGTAACTCAACTACAAATGTTCCAAATAGTAAGATAATATGGATTATTACAAATATTGTACTTAATCATAATCATATTCTTTTTGGTTCAGATGAAATTGTAACTTTCCTTCAATATCATGCTATGAGCCTAAATCAGAAAAGTCTTGTATATTAGCTGCATATTAGTAATGTACCTACTCACATTATTACAGAATCAGTTAACAATATTTGTAATAATAAAATTATTTTTTTAAAGGATATTATAAATGAACAAGCTCATATTAGATTTTCTCTGAATGAAGGCTCTAATAATGATTTTATTTAAAGGTTTCTTAAATTTTTTAAAGAACATAATTATATGATAATGTTTTTAAAAACAATTAAGGGATACTTAGCAACTCTTTTTTTTTCTCATATTGAAGCAGCCAAATGTGTTGCTAAATGTCCTAAAGTTCTTATTATAAACTCTACATATAGAACAAACATTTATAAATATCTGCTTGTTAGTGCTATTGGCATTAATAATATTGGTAATAAAAGAGGAGCATTGGTGTCTTACCAAATCACAATGGCCTAAATAGAAGATAAAAGTGAAGCATCATATACATGGTTTTTACAAACACTTTGATCTAAAATTTATAATGCTTATAGTTGCTTACTGGATGTCTTTATGTCAGATAAAGACCAAACATTAAGAAATGCTTTGTCTAAAGTATTTCCAGAATCTAATAAAATGTTGTGCATTTGGCATCTTCTAAAACAGAATTTAATAACTAATTGTCATAAACTTTTCAAGAATAATATTGATTATAAGGTATTTAAAAAGAAAGTTGAAGCACTGCAATTTCAAAATTTGAAAAAGAAATTCCACAGTTTTTGAATTCAGTTAAGAAGATAACTAAAAAATTACACTCTTCTGAAAAAGTAGAGGCATATATTTAAACATGAATGAAGGATTCTAATATGTAAATCTTAGCATATACTAAGTAGTTTTGTTATATAGGAATATTACTACTAAATAATCTGAATCATTCTATAGAGCATTTAAATATGCAATTGAAACAACTAGTGATCTAGAAAGTGTTTTTCATCAGATTGATCAGGCAATGCATTTATAATACCTAAAAATAGCAGTTTGTACTGGTTCTAACAAAGTAGCAATCAATCCTTTTTACTCTTTATAATCTCAGATTTAGTGAGCTTATTGAAAATGTGTTAGCATGGGCAATCAATCATATTAAACAAATATTACAAAAAAAGTAAACTATGAATAAAAACAATAACACTTGTGAATGTTTAACATATATTAATTATAAGTTATCTTGTAAACATATAGTTCTAATATATAGTCCAATTCTATTATCAATCATTAATAAGAGATAGTGTCTTGAAAGACCTAATATTATAAAACTTCCATGCCTCTCAGATCCTTCAATTACTAACTTTAAGTTTTACAATCTCTTCATTAATGCTGAGAAAAACTTTTAATAATTGTCCGATAGCATTACTAAAATGGAGTTTATTACAAGGCTTCAACAAATAATTGATATGCTATTATCTGAATCTCTTAAGTTTCTCCTGAAAAAAGCATCTAAATCAAGTACTAAATAGGAGTTACTTTTGAATAAATGTCAAGATTCTGCTGTGAAGAAAAAGAAAAAAAAGCTGGCCAGGATTATGAAGCTTAAAAATGATAATATTCAACAAACTACATTTTTAAAACAATCTATTACTACCTGTTTACTAAATTATAAATTATATAAAACAAATATCCACAAATTTATACAAAAACATATTTCAGCATATTTTGATGTATTAGGAGATAGTAATTGTGGCTTTCATGCTATTGCTATATTGATTAAAAAATCTGAAGATTACTAACTAGATATTTATAAACTTATCTATAAGGAACTTAGTGATTGCAAGTTTCATTATATTCAGTTATTTTTAGAAAAAGAGCGAGAGTATAATGAAGTATTATTTGTAACACAATAAAATATAGGATCTTGTGATAAAGATCCTTGGATGTTTATGTCATTATTTGGAGATGTAATTGCTAATACTTTTCAATGACCTGTTTACTATTTTAGTAAACACATTTCTCTCATATTTTTTTCTGATAATGTACTACTTAATCAAAATATGTCAATTGCATTTGCTTATATTATTAAAAACCAGCATTTTATAGCTATAAAACTAAAGCTAAATGTTCTTGTTCTGTTTATTACAAGAGGTTGGAATAACTTATATTCTAAACAAAACAGAATGTGAACAAATGTGTTTTTAGATAGAATTAATTATTTTAATAAGAAATATGAAGAAAAACATAAAGAATCTCTCCTCTGTAGATCCTTTGACTGAAATTTACAGAAAGCAAAGAACACAAATAACACTGAAATACTCAAGCAAACAGCATTTAGAACACTAAAGAAAAAGACAGAAAACTATAGAAATACAATCAACAAGTTGAAAACAAGAAATAAACTAGAGCAGCAACAAGCAACAGCAGGAAAACAAATTTTCGACAAAATTTTAATAAGCAAAATTAACATATAGATATAGAACAGAATAGGGTAAATAAACCTACTCGAGGCTCTTAAAAAAAAATTCTAGCACAAAAAATACAAGCTTGGTAGCAACACAACAAAATAGATATAGATCTCTTAACAAGATTTTAGTTAATTTAATCTTGGTATAAAAGTTTTATAAAAATCCTTTATCGTTTTTTGGAAAAGTGGAAAATCACCCTAGACCCTGAAACAATTAGTTAGTACACGTGATCAGTCGACAACAAAACAACAACAAACACAACATATTATATGTACAACAATCTTATCCTAATTAGGAAACAATAGATAGAAGTCTTTACGTGCACTACTAAGCAGATGAATAAACAACAAACTAATATAGAAATGGAAGTACAGTGCAGGCTAGGCCTT